GCTTTCTCGCCTTGCCGTTACTCATAGGGCCATTTCACAGGTTGAGGCCTGAGCGCTCTAGTCTGGTATTGCAGCAACTAATCTTAAAGCGCTAATGCTCAACCGAGATGCACCCTGATTTCTCGCTCCACGGACCTCTTCCCACTGTGGTAAGCGGTAAGCTGCGTGAACCCGCGGGGGCGCCGGTACTGAGCCTCTACTCCTTTCCAGGGGGCCAGTTACTGTAAAGTCCTTTCAAGACTTCGTCTTGACGCAGACTTTACACGCTCGAAGGTCAGGGCGCTGCCAACATACCTGCTGGGTGTTGCTCCTAAGTCGCAGCTGGAGAACGCGTTCCTTGTGAAGCTTTGGGCTTTGGTCTCATTCGTTGTTGCGCACTAAAGAGCGAATGCAGTAAAGGGCTAATGTCAAATCTTGACTGCGCTTTCCTCTTGCGAGCTTCCACTCACGGATGGCAATTTGTCCTGACAGCCATGGCCAGCGAACCAATTTAGCAACTTTGTCGACTCCTTCGAGGCTGCAGCCGCCACTCAGCAAGCTGCTCTAGACAGTCCTCCTCGCGGGACCACGAGCCTGGCTTTTGAAGCCCTTGAAAGTCAACATTTGGATCACCTAGTCGAATCACTAGTTCTGCGACGTTTCAGGGAATCCCGCCCTTCGCGGATTGGCGCCTGCGGATCAACAACACGTCATTGGTTCTTTGATTCATCAGCTTTCCACCTATTAGCAGGATTTGGATGATGCCACCTTGGCTCCAGCATTATCAGCTCCCCGCACGGAACCATCACAAGCTGCTGGACCAACGGCTACGCCTGCGATTGATGTTCCTGCGCCTTCGTCTGCCTCGGGTTCTATGTCTCTGACGAACTCCTCGGGATCACCGCCTCTAACTTTGAGCACTCCCTTTCCTGAGTCAACCACCGATGATCCCTAGAGCTTGACCTACATGCCCACAATTTGACTTTGCCCCCACTTTCTTCGTCACTCCACAGCGCTGTGGACAAAACAATACTACAAACGAACATGCTACTGAACGCATTATGTACAAATTTCATTAACAAACTTCATGTTCTCTCAGGCCTTATGGTTTCCTTTTATATGCTGTTCGACATCCTCACACACATTGTTTACTCCCGCAGCGCCTCTTTGGTTCAAACCTGCCTGTCTTGACCCTTTTTCTTGACCCTTTTACCTTCTTGATGATTTCCTCTCCTGGACTTTGATTGCCGCAACCCCTGTTCCACGCGATTCCCACTGAATGGAATGAATTTCGACGACCTATGGATTCCCTGGGTTCAGTACCCAACCTGCTGACCATCCGTTTCGAGCTTGACATCAGCCTTCTGGTCCACCAACCCGTGAACTACATCACCGTCACTTTGACTGCGGCTCAGATCGAAGACAAGGACTATACGGTTGACGATCTCAAAGATGTGATCTTCTCCCGGGTCGGACTCTCCCGCACATCTTTTTGGATGAGTCTCCCCTCCTCCGGAGACTCTCACGTTTGGGAAGTACCCTACACTTGCTTTCTTGAAGACCTTGTGCTCTACTACATCAACTCACGACGAGTACGCCCCATCGGCTACATTGATGAGTACTCCCGGCGCGACACTCTCTATCCCTATCGGACTCTCCCTACCTTGGCGGCACGCCTCCATGATGATGCCATCGGCCAACTCCGCCTACCCCTGACCGCCTATCTTTGCTTCCGTGAGATTCCAGAGTCTCACCCTTTCCCACATGCGTTGCGGAGCCTAGTGGAAAAGAACCTTAGCTTGCCTCCCTCGGAAAGGCGTGTGTGTGTAACCTTGGAGTCACAGGGATCCCTTCGGATTGGTTTGTTTTTGGTTTTTGTCTTTATCAAGCAGAGGGCACCTGGAGCAGAGATAGGGAAGGTGCCAATGAAGACACATATCTCTTGCTTGTGATATCGACGGGAGACGTCCTGTCGATGTACCTGCAACTGTGTGTGTGGCGTTGAGTAACCACAACCCACTCTAGAGCCCAGGCTGGTGAGGTTTCAGAGGTCGGCAGATGTGCATTAAAGGGTTCGAGCTTTGGAGCCTTTGCGATTTTAAGGACGTATTCTTGCCCTGTTTCCTTAGGTTTTTCACTTTGGCCGGCGTGTGGCAACCGCTTTCAAATCAGTACGCATTTCTATCAGTGTGTGTGTGTGTGAACCAGTTTGAACTTGACGTTAGCCGTACCACCAGTTATGCCAAGGAACTCCGATGTGACATGGACATCATGCCGAGAGTATCTACCAGTCTTTCCGTGTTTGTAGTTGCAAGTCGTGCTGTGGCTGTTTGAAGCCCAAAGAGTTTAGAAGAATGTCTTTTTGCACTCCGCTGGCAGAAGTCTACATTCCCCCTCAACGGGAGGGCTTTCATCCCTGTTTCTGCAAGATTTGTACTGCTTCTGATTGCAAGTTCTACCTCCACATCTTCTAGACTTGCTACAGGAAGGGCTTTCATTCCTGGCAACTAGATGACACAACCCAAGGCTTAGTGGGAGGGCTTACTTCCCTCGAGGTCCTCCCAATCCCTTTTGAAGCATGTTCTTTGGGATTGCTGTGGTTGGCCCACTTGTTGCTCTTTTGCTTCCACTTCTGCTATTTTTGGCCTATGAGCTCAAAGGCTGCTCAAGTCATGTCCATCAGCGTCAAGTACAGTGCAAGTCACAGTGGTGCTTACGGCCGACTCAATTGATGCTTTCCAACAATCAAACAGCACAAGCTTTCACCTGCCAAATTTCTGCAAAGGTGCTTGTTATGCCAAAGTGGCGCGTAACACCATCTGCAGAAATCAACCCCTTGCTTTTGCTCCAGTTCGCGTATGCATTCAATCTGACAATCTATATACAGTAGATTCTCAAGGAATCGCATCAGCTGTATGTACTTTGGTTCCTATAGAAAATTGTCAGTGCCAACTTTGGGCAACTCTGGTTTATCTGGGACCTGGTAGATACATCACAGGCTGCCCTTTCATTCTTGGAGGGCCCGGTTGCATCCTGCCCACCAGGTGGCATTTTGCGGGAAATTGGAACGGTTCTTGGTCCATGAACTTCACGAGTTAAGTGGCTGGACCAATTTTCGAGGTCATGCGGGAAACAAAACAAACTACTGCTGTGAGGTGCGGGTACCCTTGCTTACGGACAGGTCGAACGTCCCGGGGGCCCCTTTCACAGAAGGGGTTTGTACAAACTCAAAAGAAGCTAGCAGGTCTCTACAACTGAGGATGCGTAAGGTGGAATAAGAAACAAACAAAAACACGGAACGCAGCAACAAGCACCTCAGGAAAGCAACCAAAACCGAAGAGACACCCTTCACCTCGTGGGAAGTACACTTGGGAATAAATTGCATGGATCAAAGGACGTATCTACCATTTCACACACAAAGTTGCTCTGCATCTAATTGGTTTGCACAATTTTGCACATGGATCAGGGAATGGGTCAGGTACCTTGTCCCAGGATACCGCTACTCGTGGCTTTCGGCAATATAAGAAGCGTTTGTTGCAGGGAATTTGGAGTACATCGGGATGACCAAAGGGTTCGGCCTCTGGCAACGTCACCAGTCAATCTTTGTGGAATGGTGTGTTGACCCCAGCCAGGTGTGGGGTTTGGGTCTTGTTCTGGCCGCGCTCGTTCACCATGGCTGGGAATCTGATGAGCAGCATGAATGTAGAAAATCCAGGAATTAATGTGTTTCAAAAAACAAAGAAAAGGTCGAAGCATCCTGTTGTTGTTTTCTCTAGGTTGACTTTGATGCAGCCTTTCAGGTCCCAACTGCCATCATGTTCGCTCCCTTTCTCCTTTCTCCGCAAGTAGTTTTGATGGCCCCTGAGCCGGGCTCAAGCTATAGACAAAGTCGATGTTTGTCCAACAGGACCAAGAAAGCCAAATGTCCTGCCGTTGACCTCTGACTGCATACGGCTTCTTGCTAGTCAGGCAACTTAATAGGTCAAACATGAAAGTAGTCTGTGGGCAAAGATAACTCACCTCAAGTGTGGAAAACCCCTCTCGTCACTATGTAGACAAGAAAGCCCAAACTTCTTCCATGATGAACTCTCAGCTGCAAGAGCAGCCACTCAAGTGCTGATTCTGTGAGTTTCGGTCATCAGGTCAAGGCGCCGTGCCGCGTCTGTCAGGATTTTTTGCCAATCCAACTTTGGGAGCTTGGCAGAGCCTTGGCAGAGCCTTGGCAGAGCCTTGGCAGAGCCTTGGCAGAGCCTTGGCAGAGCCTTGGGCTTTTGCTGGCAGACTCATGAGGACCAGGACCACTTGGTCTTCACCGGCATCCGTGCAGAAACCTGTGAGTCCCTCAGGCGCAGCTCCTCACGGAAGCAAAGGCTTGTCAATTTGACGGACGAGAAGCCCACCCGACGGATGTGCTTCCACACACTACCCGGTCCTTGATCGTTGAGAGTGGAAGTGACTTTGCAAGCTTCAGACCTGCGGCCACACACAGCACGATTGCATGGCATGATTGCAAGCGACGAAAGGTATCTAACAAACAAAACCCTCCTGGTTTTTTGGGGGGGAGTAGGCCGCTAAAGGTGAGGTAGGTAGTAGCTAGGTAGCTAGTAGGGACAGGTAGCTACTACCTGCAAGTAAGCTACTACTTATTAGGACGCAGGATAGCTTGCGCTAATGATTTGGTTCCTAGATTTTCAGGGAAACTTATATAACGCTCATCCCACCAGGTCTCAGTCTCTACCACGCTGACATTCGTCTAGATCGAAGCTCCACCACGAGCCTTCCTCGTCTCCAAAGCTGTTCGCCGAGAGATCCAAGCTGGTCAATGCCAGGCCCGGTGTTTCCAGCATTTCACACACGTGGCTGAGGTCCTTTAGCTCACAATGTGCCAAGGAGAGCTCCTAACGAGTGCATCAGCAAGAGCTCACACAACCGTTCCAAATGCAAGCTGCGGAGCCCCTGAAGCTACAAGCAAACATTAAAAAGTCCGTTGTCTAATTGTATAGTGTCTTAAAAAGCACGGAGCCCAGCAGAAGCACGAGGGATATCTTCAAGAAAGCAAACAAACGAAAGAAACAAATGTCCATCTAAGATCCCACAATCCGCGGGCCAAGCTCACTCATTTTGGTGTATGTGTCCGAAGGTGGGAGCCCCTGAAGGATGAAATGCCGAGCTTCCTTGACTCCTTCACCGGCTTCGCCTCGAAACTGCCACAGGTCTGCTTCTTCCCCTCGCTGTCTGGCATGCCGTGCAAGTGCAGCACAAACACAGCGAACGCCAGCATCTCCAAGGCGACACCAATCCTTAGAAAGCGCGTCCTGACCAGGCTTGGGGTCCTTCAAGGAAGCTTCTCCCTGAAGAAGAAGATGGCTAGGCTGGTAAAAGCGTTGCATCTGTTTCTGATCCCTGCCAAAGCCAAGGATCAAGGACCAGCTTGGTGATCTTCGATGGTGCTGCCTCGGAAATCGGCCAGAGTGGCATTCCAAAAGATAGTACCATTGGCATCATCAGATGTGTGAGCTTATTTTCACAACATCTGTTTTACAGCAATCCTTGACAATCAAGTGGAAGTCTCCTTTCCAGGATTGCTCACAAAGCCTTTTTCAGCTTCAACACTTGTTCAGCGAGTCAAGCAACTTGCACTCTGGCAACGAGAGCTTCCAGGGATTCCAAATCCCACAGGGCAGGATCGAAGTATTGGAAGTCAAGTTGTAATTCTTTGAGCTCCGGCGCTTGTGGCAAGAACTTACCTCGGCGAAGAGTTTGGACTTTCTTTACCCCTCCTATGTTGTGTTCAAGTCAAGCCATCCAAATGGGTCCGCTCTTTATTGACACCTGCAAACCAAGAAAACACACAAATATGTATACAGGTGTTTAACAAACTGTAACATGCGGAGTGTTCATCATTGGTACAAATCAATCAGAATCCCCAATGGCCGGGCCAGCTGCAAATGACTTGCGCTGTCAATCCCGGAGCAGCAGATGGCAAGTTTAGCAGTAGGAGCTTCTGAAGGCTTGGACAGAAAGGAGTGGGTGTTGCAGAAGATGGAGTAGTGGACGAAGAACCTCCCAGCAAAAAGAAATTCACAGTCAGCCCCACTGGGACAACTGAATGATCTTGCAGGAAAGCCAACCCTAGAATCGAGTTGATGCTTTTCTGCTCAAGGTGATGGCTCAAACTTGCAAACAAGTCAAAGTCGAGTAGCGGCATGCCAAAGGTCAATATACAGTAATTAAGTGAGCAAACCTCCACACATACACACTCAAGAAGCCACAGGTCAGTTTTCAGTCCTTCTGCTCCAGAGGGAAGAAGCCCAAAGAGATCACCGGCGCACAAATCAACCAAGTGCAGAACACGAAGCCGCTCGCCAAGAGCGCCAGCACAGCCGCGTGAGCATGAAGAGCATGGGGAACCAAAAGCGCTTTGAACACAGATTCCATTGAGCCTTCCCTGCTCCACTCCGCTACAGAGGGGCGTCTGGCCACCACTCGTTGGGGTAGCCTCCGAGGCATGCCGACCTCAACTCAGCCAAAGTCGCGAGTTTCATTCAATCTAGTAGAAGAAAAAGGGAAATGGTAGATCTCCTTTGGATACATTCATCTTGCATGGGACAAGTGATAGTCAAAGCAAATTTCGAAGGGAATCTTCCCTATAACGAAAACTTGGCAGTGAGCGCACGCGTGATCGTGAGCGCGTTAACGGAAAGTCCAGGGAAGAACGGTTGTTACATGGATGACTAGTAGCTTCTTGCTCCTAGTAGCAAGGCCAGGAGCTACTAGTAGCATCCTTGCTCCTAGTAGCGATGCCCTTGTTACTCGTTGTGCACAAAAGTTGGGAGGTGCGGATCGCAGCGTCGGGGCTGCACGCTCCTGGCCTTACTACTAGGAACAAGAAGCTACCAGTAACAAAGGGCATGGCTACTAGGAGCAAGGACGCTACTAGGGGCTCCTGGCCTTGGTACTGGGAACAAGACAAGAAGCTACTTACTAGTAACAAAGGGCATCGCTACTAGGAGCAAGGACGCTACTAGGGCTCCTGGCCTTGCTACTAGGAACAAGAAGCTACCAGCAACAAAGGGCATGGCCACTAGGGGAGAATGGCCACGGCCCCGACAGTGGCGGGTGGAATGCAAGAATCTGTTACACACTGCCAGGGCTACCTAAGGTAGAACTGGCGACTTTGGCAGCAAAGTAGTTTTTGGCAGCTTTGGGCGCAGAACTGGCGGGGTTATAGTACAAGGATAGTCCGCGTCTCTAGCAGCTCTGGGTAGGGAACTGACAAGTTTGGGGCTACAAGTGTCCCCTAAACTGGCAAGTTTGGGGCACTTCTTTGATCCTTCATTTACTCACTCCTTCACTGACCCACTTCCAGACTCAATCACCCCGTCACTCCTCACTCACTCACTCACCTCACCTCACCCCACCTCACCTGATGTCAATTCAGGGATGATCGTATGGAGAATCTGGTGACCCTGGCGCAAAGCTCAGAGAGCACACACTGAGGAGATCCTCTCTGGCTTTTGGCAAAAGGAAGGGCAAGACCAAGCCGCAGCTTCAAGTGCACAAATGGGATCTTCCCAACGACAATTGGTGCTGTGCCACCAGCATTTTCTTTGCGCTTGCAGCAGTAGGTCTGCTTGGCCTTGAGAACTTCGAGGCTGGCAAGTTTGGGAACCAAATTGATGCCATGCTGCGCAAAGGTGAGAGACTGACAGTGATCGGTCTTCAACCACCCTCCCAAGGTTTTCAACCAGTATATTAGTGTCCGCTCCAGTTCGTACCCTGGTGCACAATGAAGGCGCAACTGGTGAAAATCACGTGTCTGTACCCTCACCAAGTGCAGGAAGGGTGATCTCCAAGTCAAAGTGGATGCGCCTCGATCGACACTTCACATGTCCCTTACATCGGTGTGCTCGATCGATGTGGACGAGTTGGGGCGTGCATGTCAATCCACTTCTCATGCTCATGGCAAATTGATGCAAATTGCCATCTACACGCGACATCCTGCAACGAGAGCTCACAGATGTGTCCAGTTC